GAGTAGCATAAGGCTTATAAAAATAAGGATTGTTAAGCTTACGCAAAAAATGCCATTTTCCACATTACTTGCGTCACTGTTTCGGTTTCGCTCATATTATAGGTTTGGTAACATTCGCACTAAACCGTATATTTTTAAAAGTCTAATTAATTCCATTTTTCTGGCATATCAAGGTATCCTCAAAAGACTTCTTACTGTGCTGCTTCTACCCTTCTGGTCTTATCACGTCAATGGTGTATCTGTATATATATCCTTTAAATTTTGCCATCCTTGTCATGTTCAGGTGGATTCGAATGATACCGATAACTGCGTCCGCGTGTTGGAGATGATTTTTCAATTCTGCCTTTTATGGTCTACCGGGTGTGTTGTTGACGAGGACGGCAGAAAAAAATTAGATAACTTCATTCGTGAATTGGAGGGCACTTTTCCGAACCGTGACACCATCTACGAGTATTTTGTTGATGCCAAGAATCGCAACTGGACTCATTGGGAGGAAAGACTACGTACTGGGTGGAAGTACCAGCCTCAGTAAGCGCTTTTACTATCATAAAATAGATGGACCTGAATCCATCGGCTGGAAGGCAAAAATCGGGTTTAGTCGTTGCTACTTCGGAATATTTTTCGACTCTATCAGTTCATCTAAATTATAGGAAATGTTCGCTAGGTCTTTAGCGCTGTCATCGATGAATATTAGAGAAATATTGTCTTCTTGCCATAGGTTACACTCATCTTAAACAGTGTATTACAGGTCCTAGGCTTCCACAGACAAATTTGTTGCTAGATATGGTTCAATGCTACGATTTCACAGGGAAGAATAACCTAAATGGATTTTTAATTAGCTACACATATTTGTATGCCCACATATTTAGTTAGTCAAGGCCATAAATTCTGTACTATAGTTTCGGTAAATGTATACGCGCTAATATATTTTATAACAATATCGGGTACTTCTAAGCTTGACGCTTGCATGATATCCTATAATGAATTGATAAAGTCTTCCTACAATATATTAAAATATCTTCAAAACAAACTAATATAACTTTTATCCTGATAAAATTAAACATTTGCAACTTCAATCCCACAACACAAGGCTGGCTTGCCTACACATAATCTAAATTAATACTGAATATTTTATTTATTTGTCGTGATCAGACCAACTATTGATTTCTATCCACGTTCATAGATAAAGGCTATTTTTCGAACGAGATTAGTTAGCAGTTTTGACTTCTAGTCAGTATTTTAAAATAAGAGGATACATTTCTGAGCTTTGTGTCTTTGTGTTCCAGAGATTTATTGGAACATATTCCGTTCAAAGAAGTTCCTTGATTCGTTTAACCAATTTTTAAAAATTCTTTTAAGGGGTTTAGTAGATCATTTAATCTTCGAGTGATTTGTTACTGTTAATAGTGGTATTGGTAAAATACTTTAATCACTTGGAATAAATTCATTTCTACCCACAA